TGGAAGTAAATGTGGTTAAGACGGAGAAGTTGGTTATCGGTGGTGATCAGCAAAGCATTGAACTGCACTGAGAAAAAACTATGGCTTATAAACCTATTAGAGGTAAATATGGAACACCACTAATAGTAGTACCTCTACATATAATAATAGCACATATACCTTAGTTATGGTCTCTGTACCTTAATTAGGTACAGAGACCTTAGTATGGTTCACAGACCGAGAATCATTAGTTTATTTACGACTATTATAGGTGTTCCATATTTACCACTAATAGGTTTATAAACCATAGCTTTTTCTCAGTGTGGAGGATGGCCGGAAGATCCTGGACTGTGAAGAGTATAAATATCTCGGAGTTCGGTTAACTAAGGACGGAAATTTGGATCGGGCCATTAAAGATCAGAATGTGCAAGGCAGGAAAGCTATCGCGATGCTAAATGGGGTTCTCTGGGACCAGAGTATCTCCAAGGAGACCAAAAGGAAAATTTACAACGTCATCGTGAAGAGTATCGTAACTTACGGGAGTGAGGTCTGGCAACTTAAGAAAAGAACTGAAGACATGCTTAGGGCAACCGAGATGGACTTTTGGCGAAGGTCTGCTGGGATATCGAGAAGAGAGCGTATCCGCAATGAAAGGGTACGCGAGATAATGGGTGTGGAAAAGGACATCGTGCACGATATCAGGTCCAAGCAGTTGGTCTGGTATGGACATGTGCGAAGGATGGCAGATGATCGGTTGCCCAAGCAGGTCTTCGATTGGGTTCCTCCCGGAAGGCGACGGCGTGGACGTCCTGTGAAAGGTTGGCGACAAGGGGTGGAGGAGGAGATCAGAAGGTGCCAATTGCCTGATGATCTCTGGGAGGATAGGGGGCAATGGCGATTGGGCGTCGCAGAGCGCGAGGCGGCGCTATAATCGCGACTTTATGTATGTATGTAAAATTGGCAATAGCTGACGTGGCATGGCTCCTTTCAGCTAAACTAAATTAAAACAGAAAATTAAATGAAAGAAAATAGATATCACAGTAAGTAAATTAATTATCACAGCACAACTTTAAAAACTCTAAAACAAAACCACGTTCTGATGCCGGCATACACTGAAAAAAATGAGTTAGCGTCAGATGACTAAAAATGGTTTCTATACACTAACTCAAATTGTGTGATTTGGACACACATGATTTTTGGTTTCTGTACACTAACCACTATTAGTGCTGGAAACTAATTCCGCTACTCTAATTCGCTTTCGGTAGGGTTGGGTCAACCTAACCTCAAAACTGAGAGAGGAGAAAACGGCTTAGCGAATGATAACTGGACAATACTTTCAGGAAAATAAGATTTCTTAAAAGATGAGAGGTAAAAATTAACTGACCAGTTCCAAATGAACGACAGAGGAAAGGAATATCCCATAGGTACGTGCAAGTAGACAGAATTATCCTTTAGAGAGACACACACTCACACATGAAACGGTAGCGAATGTTCACATGAATAAACATATCTCGTCCGACACTGAGAAAAAGCTATGGTTTATAAACCTATTAGTGGTAAATATGGAACACCTATAATAGTCGTAAATAAACTAATGATTCTCGGTCTGTGAACCATACTAAGGTCTCTGTACCTAATTAAGGTACAGAGACCATAACTAAGGTATATGTGCTATTATTATATGTAGAGGTACTACTATTAGTGGTGTTCCATATTTACCTCTAATAGGTTTATAAGCCATAGTTTTTTCTCAGTGGAACACTATTCTTTTGAAATTACGGGAGAACACGAACTATAGAAGTAAGCAGTAAGTTCACAGATTTTCGTAAAATATAAACTGAACGCGGAACGCTTTAATCGCAATTTAACACAGAAGATTGACGACTCCAACGAATATCATGCTTGTTTACTTTTTGAATCGAACAGACGATTTCTAACCTTAACAGGTTTATTTATGTTGCTTTCGAACGTTTTCAAGAAAGAGAGGACACTATAAATCATACCGGGAGTATTTACATTGTCAAACGAGCCCGAAATTTCACATTTTAATTGATTTTCACGAGCTAACGCGATTGAGGCTGTTGTACCGACGCCACTTTTTCGAAACTAAATAAATGTAACGGACAATGTGGCAGTTAGTGTTGAGGGCGAATTAGTTTGACCCGAAGGTGAATTTGTCTTACCACAGCGCTAATTTTACAGCTAGTGCTGTTTTCTAATTCTGGTTCGCGCTCTAGTAAAGTGAAGTCAGCGTATGAAGCGAATTGATTGGTGCTTCAGTACAATAAATTAGTTCTGAAGCCTAATTTTGATTCTACTTGGCGAGAACTTACCAAATTAGTTCTCAACGCTAACTACTTTTTTTTCAGTGTATAAACAAAAACAAACCGAAATTTTGAGGTTACAGCAAATCTCCCGCCAATATTAATCTCCAACCCGCTTCTTCTTCTTAAAAAAAAAAAATCAAGGACGGTGATTGGTTTTCCTATTGGATTTCCTCTTTTTCGGTCAATCATGCAACATTGTAATCTGCCGCCACGTTTGAAATAGACATACTGTCTATAGCTCCCCGTTCCATCGCCGTTCTATCGAGGTCCGTGGTCGCAAAAATTTTAGCGATGGAACTGCTATAGAACGAACCCGCACTTCCATCGCCGGGAGCCATAGAAGTCTGTGGTCGGACTGCAGGGTGATGGAGGACAAGCCGCGGCGTCCTAGGGTAGTGAGGGTCGTGTCTATGGCACTCTAATTCTGGGCTCCTAACAAGCTGACTGGTTGTTGCAGTTGCTTCGTGAATAGTTGTATTAAGGCTCTGCTGGTGTAGCCATGTGCTGTGCCATGGCTGTACAGTACTTTTAAATACTCCCCGCGGCCCGTGCCAAACATCTATTTTAATTTATTGAACACGCACCCCATGCGGTTCATGATCTTGAACAAAACTGCCGCCCAGAGAGCTGATTCATTTGCGATGTATATGCCGTCTCCTTGTTTTACCGTGTATTTTTTGACAGCTTTGAGGCCATAATTTCGGAAGACTGTATCTGACGCCACCTCTTCATATCCTGCGTGTACCAAGGTGTTGGTAAAGTATGTTGTTCTGACACCAGAGAATAACTCCTGCAAGATCTTGAGGTTCAGGAACTGTCCGGGGCTATCAGGGTCGGGGAACCTGACACCAATATTATCTTTGGATTGCGCGAGCCATTCACGGAAAAAAATAGGGGAGTCGACACAACCAGCAGGTAGATAAAAATGCGCCAGCTACCGTGCGGTAGTTACGATAACTACCGCAGTGAAGGTCACTACTAACGCGGTAGTTACATCATCATTCATGGTTGTTGATGCAACTATCGGCTTAGTTGTGACCTCCACCGCGGTAGATTATCGTAACTACCGCACGGTAGCTGGCGCATTTTTAACTACCCGCTGGTTGTGTCGACTACCCTATTTTTTTCCGTGTTGGTGGGCGCGAACCCAACATATCGGTGCCCCACGTTCACGTCCAATCGTGGCGCATCACATACCTGGTGGATGAGGGCTTTTGAGCGCGGGGTGTGCTGGATGCTGAAGTCAGAATAGTCGAGCATTATTAGATGCATGCTGGAATTGGCGGTCAACTGGGCTCTATGAAGTTGTTTAGCATAGGCTTCTGACCCAACACACCCCTTCTCAAACCCCTCAGCAAGCTATAGTCGCTCTTCTAAGCCCTGCACTGCGTACGTGGCGATGACGTAGTGCAAAACATCGACGTCATATATTGCGCGACGTTTACCATTCTCGAATTTTTCAGTAAATGTAACAGCAATTGTACTGTAAATCTCCCGCCAATATTATTCTCCAACCCGATTATTTTTCTTCAATAAACAAAAATAAAGGACGGGGTGATTGGTTAAGAGCAATTTCCTCTTTTCCGGTCAGTCGTGCAACATTGCAATCCGCCGCTACGTTTGGAACAGACGTACTGTCTATCGATCTCTGTTCCATTGAGATTCGTTGTCGCAAGAATTCTAACGATGGAACTGCTATGGAACCAACTCGCGTTTCCATCGCCGGGAGCCTTCAAGTCTGGTCGGGCTGCGGAGTAAGGGTCCAGTATTGAGGGGGGGGGGGATATTCCACAATACTTGGGCAAATCATTTGATTATCAATACATTGAATCGTGGGGAAGCGTATGGAATCGTTGATAAACAAAATAAAATTATGTATGCATGATATTTTTTGTAATCGGTAAGATGCTAATAAATAACACTGATGGAGGTTTGCTTAGCTGTTTTCGGTAAGTTAAAGATATCCATAACCTCCTAGAGCATTCGTTCAGAATGTCCTCATAATATTCTACTATACGTAGACAAATCATTTGATTTTCAATACATTGATTCGGGAGAAGCGAATGGAATCGTCGATGAACAAAATGAAATTATGTATGCATGATATTTATTGTAATTGGTAACATGTAAATAAATAACACTGGTTTAGTTTTTGCTTAGCCACTTTCGGTAAGTTCAAGATATCTACAACATTCTAGATCATTCGTTCAGAATGTCTTCACTCCTAATGAACTCTGTATCAATGAAATGCAACTTTTTGGAAGGTCTAAGCTTCATAATAATTATGTTCCTCGTTTTGCCTTTTAGAAGTTGGGTCATATACCCACTTAATAGTCAAGAGAGTTCAATTCTACAAATCGGGAAAATAAATGTTTTACTTTTAAAATTTCAACATTGACTGAAGTCTTTCGGTTCACCAAACGGAGCCTTCGGCTCACCCAATACAAATTCAGTCCGATCAACCAAAACGGTTGGTTCAATCATCTAGGGGTTCGGTCCCTTGAACTGAAACGTCCCCACTGGAGTACTCCGCTGTGACAAGGAAGAACGTCGTTCACTGGGGAAAAAAAACACATTGGATCTAGAGTCCAGACTTATGAAAACATTCTCAAGAAAAAATACTCTTGATTCAATCGGATTTTTGCTTGAATCAAAACGAAATCCGCTTAAATTAAGAGGCTTGGTTCTTGATTTAAGCTAGATTCTGATTGAATCAAGAGTACTTTTTCTTGTCGACGTTTTTAAGAGTCTGGACTCAAGATACAATGTGTTTTTTTCCAGTGATTTTAAGGATCCACGTTTCCTATCGTATGGTTCGGTGGTCAAGTCGCGGGGTGACCCTTGCTCAGGCGCTCGAGGAGGAACTCCGTGGCTGGAGTCGAACCCAGCACCCCGTTTTGGAGCGGAGCGTGGACGTCATGAGGAGTCGTATGCTATCCATGTTGGGCATCTTCTGGCTGGGCAGGATCCTGAACTCGCGGAGCACCGTCGACAGGATTGTCTTCATCTGGAGCATGGCGTATTTCTGCCCGATGCAGTTGCGGGCTCCAGCCGCGAAAGGGATGTAACTGTAGGGATGTCTGTTCCCGCTGTTCCCCGGCAGGAAGCGCTCCGGCCAGAACCGGTTCGGCTCCGGAAAATACCGAGGGTCCCGGTGCAACGAGTAGATGAATGCTACCACCGTGCATCCTGAAAACAAAACGTCCATTTTTCCACATTAACCCGTTGACACACCATTTTTCAGTTTGAAGGGAAAAAAATATTTGACCATCACTTATTTTTCCTTGTATTTTTTGAAATTTTTTTTTAAAAAAAAAAAAAAAAATTCAAGAGCCTATTTTTATGAGATAGACCATGTCCTTTTTAGAGGACGGTATGCGTCTATGCATTACCTTGGTCTCGGTAATGTCCTTCTAAAAGGACAGAATGTGTTGATGCATCTCGCTTTTGATAAAGTTAGAAAAAGGCTTTTCTCACAAAACTTTCCTTTCAAATCATAGTTTACTCTCTCTGAAATCTCATTTATCTTTATAGACCCTCCACCCTCCCCCTCCTCACCCACATTTTATGGCTGCACCTCTAATCAAAGTCTAAAATTACAATTTACTTCAGAAATAGACTACTTGAAGATTTACATCTGAGGTTCTGCTTCAACATTGGTCTTATCTTGGGGGGGGGGGGGGNCCCCCCCCCCCCCCAATCGCTCCTCGAACTAGCAGAGATAATTGCAGTTGCATTTTTTGCTGCTCAAAGGGAATTAGATTTTAATTTTTTTATAAATTATTTTGAAGTATACTAAACATAAGTATACCTTTCCTAATAAGTAAGATAATTAGAGTAAAAGTGGAAAAAGTTAATTACAGCGTTGCTGAATTTCTTCTGTTACTTTCATTTCATTTTCATAATTATTTACTGGGATAACTAATCGTCTGAGTAACATGGGCATTACAAGGAGTGATCCAGCTCCACATTTGGAACACATAATATATTAAAATTCTGTTAAAAATTACACTTTTGCTCCATGAAAAAAGTAGATATCCAAGAAAATGTACAAAATGCACTAGTGCTGTTGGAACTTTTTCAACTTTTACTTGCTCCAAATATCTTCAGTCAGGGATTTTTCAGGAAAATTTTAAAAATGTAAGAAAAAGAGGACATCAACAGACATATAAAATTTAAATGAAAACTTTATATTGAGTAAACGAGAGAGATCAAAAATGAAATTGAAAAATCTAGGACTAAAACTGTTTGAAGCTCTGACTTAAAGGAACAGTCACAAAAATTCACTAAAATAACAAAAAAAAGTGAAAGAAATGGATATCTATCCGTTTGTCTTTATGAACCATGCTTTGAGAGTTTGACTCTAGGAGATCTAAATTGTCTAAAACAAAACAATACAAGAGTAAATATGTGGCAATACTAGGGGGAAAAATATGAAAAAAAACTGCTGAGAGTAATTACACAACACTCTAGTCAAATCATCAGTCTTTTATTGTTACCTCTCCTCAACGAAAACTGACAAGTCAAAAAAAGAGAGTGCAAAAATGAAATGAAAAATCTATGACTAAAACTGTTTGAAGCTCTAACTTGCAGGAACAGTCACAAAAATTCACTAAAATAACAAAAAAAGAAAGTGAAAGAATGATCCATTTGTTTTTACGAACCACCCTTTGAGAGTTTGACTCTGGGAGATATAAATTGTCTAAAACAAAACAATACAAGAGTAAATAGGTGGTAATACTACACTGAGAAAAAACTATGGCTTATAAACCTATTAGAGGTAAATATGGAACACCACTAATAGTAGTACCTCTACATATAATAATAGCACATATACCTTAGTTATGGTCTCTGTACCTTAATTAGGTACAGAGACCTTAGTATGGTTCACAGACCGAGAATCATTAGTTTATTTACGACTATTATAGGTGTTCCATATTTACCACTAATAGGTTTATAAACCATAGCTTTTTCTCAGTGTAGGAAACACAAAATATGAAAAAACTGCGAAGAGCAATTATAGGAAACTCTAGTCAAATCATCAGTCTTTCATTGTTGACTCTCCCCAACAAAAACTGACGAGTAAAATAAATTTAACAATTGGTAACCAACTAAAAATTTGGTTTGTTCAAACTCTCACTGGACATGAAACTGATAAAAACAGTTGTTAGCACCGTTCAAGCAGAGATGCACATTGCACTTCACGCAAAAAATACGACTTTTTCCTTTGCACCCAGGATATTTGCACCTGGATCCATACTTATTATCATCAAAGTTGGCCAGGTGACCAACATTATCAAGCCGAACATCTACAATAGGTCGAACCTCTGCAGCAGGTCGCTTCACAGCAGGCTCAATTTCATCAATTCGATCCTGAAGTTTGCTGGGTCGACCTCTTTTTCGACGAGGAGTGTCCAGCTTCGATCAAGGCAGTGGCTACATATTGACGGAAAGACAACAGGTCTAAAATTTCTTTTTCTGGCTTCTTCAGAGCTCTGGCTGTTCTACGGTACTCTATGAAAGCTCCAGCAAGAGCCAGATCCATGCTATGTGCTATCATGCGAAGCGTCCACTTCCTTGATTTTATGTAAATCCTGTATAAGGAAATGTAATAGTCTAGTTGGTCAATACCTCCCATAAAATTATTGTAAAGCTGAATAACTTGTGGGCAATTAATGTTGTAGGCATTTGTTAACACACACCTACTGGAAAAAAAACACATTGGATCTAGAGTCCAGATTCTGAAAAACATCGACAAGAAAAAATAATCTTTATTCAATTAGATTCAATCTTAAATCAAAAACCAAGCCTCTTCATTTGAGCGGATTTCCTTTTGATTTAAGCCTCTGCATTTGAGCGGATTTCCTTTTGATTTAAGCACAAATCTGATTGAATCAAGAGTATTTTTTCTTGTCAATGTTTTCAAGAGTCTGGATTGTAGATCCAATGTGTTTTGTTTGTTTTTTTTTTTTTTTTTCCAGTGTACGCATTTGTCAATACAGTACGTTCTCTCTTTAACGAATATCGTTATAAAGAGAATCTTTCCGTACCGAGAAAATCGGTCGGCCCCTTTAACTTCCCATATTAAATATCGAGTATCATTATAACGAGAATCTCTCCGTGTCGAGGAAATCGGCCGGTCCCTTGAGTTCTCGTTACAGAGAAAAAGTACCGTGTACGATAAATGTAGCCCGGTATCTGCTTGAGCAGATGGATATCATGACAATTTTCTTGAGCCAATCGGCGAATTAATAGTAAGAGTTTATTGAAAAGTAGACGGATTGATGTTTGCTAAATATGCAGGGAATTAAACTGAAATTCAATACATATAGCCGGGCATCTGCTGGAGCAGATGACTTTCGCGACTATTTTCTAAAGCCAATTTATTGTCAAATTAATATTGGCAGTTAATCGAAATATAGACAGCTTGATGTTTGCTAGGCATATGAGAATTAAATTGAAATTTAAGACATGGGAACCCGACCTGCAAGTGAATCATGCAGAACTGCAAGCGTCAAATCCTGACGACTAGGAACGAGAGTACTGTACTGCTTACTATCAAATAACGGCAAACTAGTTTGATAGCGAATTTATTGAGCTTGTAGTATCTCGTATCAATTATTCCCGTTTTATTCCGTACATTTTAGAGTATCAATTCTACGCACAATCTGTCTACGCATTTTAATTATGAGAGTGGCGCATGTCAGCGAAAACATAATATACAATGCCATATGTCCCTTCAGACGAACCAATTATTCCCTTCTTGTTCCTTATTCTTGACTGCAACTTTGGCGCTTGTGGCGTGCGCACATGTTTCTATAGTGCTCTTCAAAACTTGGATTTTACCCCGGTTAAATGCGGAATTTATTTTAACGTTGTATATAAGTATGTGCAGAATGTTCTCAACAAACTGGAGCAGAAAGTCAAGAATGATGACACGCAATCGCACAGCATTTCTACACTGAGAAAAAACTATGGTTTATAAACCTATTAGAGGTAAATATGGAACACCTATAATAGTCGTAAATAAACTAATGATTCTCGGTCTGTGAACCATACTAAGGTCTCTGTACCTAATTAAGGTACCCCGTACCATAACTAAGGTATATGTGCTATTATTATATGTAGAGGTACTACTATTAGTGGTGTTCCATATTTACCTCTAATAGGTTTATAAGCCATAGTTTTTTCTCAGTGTACAGCAGTGTAGGCACTAATATGTGTTTCACGCCAACTGACCGACTGCACTGCGTTTGGAGCAATGCGGGAAGTATTCACGCAGTCTTGCAGGCGCCAATATGGGCTGTGCGCCGACCGCACTGTTTGGCGCAATGCGTGAAGTACACTGAGAAAAAACTATGGTTTATAAACCTATTAGAGGTAAATATGGAACACCTATAATAGTCGTAAATAAACTAATGATTCTCGGTCTGTGAACCATACTAAGGTCTCTGTACCTAATTAAGGTACAGAGACCATAACTAAGGTATATGTGCTATTATTATATGTAGAGGTACTACTATTAGTGGTGTTCCATATTTACCTCTAATAGGTTTATAAGCCATAGTTTTTTCTCAGTGTACTCTGAAAGCCTTGCAGGCGCGAGTAAACGTTTAATGCCGGCCTCACTGTGTTTGACGCGATTATTCGAATTCGCGTTAGATTAATCGCGGCATCGAACACTGGAAAAAAAAAAAAAAAAACTCTTGATTCAATCAGATTTAAGCTTAAATCAAGAACCAAGCCTCTTAATTTGAGGGGATTTCCTTTTGATTTAAGTTTAAATCTGATTGAATCAAGAGTCATTTTTCTTCTCAATTTTTTCAAGAGTCTATACTCTAGATCCAGTGTAATTCCCCCCCCCCCCCCCCNATTGAATAATACAGCTTAAAAGACCCATGTTGATGTTTCGACGCCGTATGAGCATTTTAACGTTGCCTCGTCTCTTCCGACTAAATATTTTTTCCGAAAAATGTTTGAAAAATTCTTCATACCGACGACCATCGTACAAATCTTTTCACTTCAATTGTCATCAGAATGTAAATCATCGATGACTTGTCAACAAAGTAACCTCAACTAGCGTTTATTTTCAAACGGTCTCCTGTTTTGCCAAACTCCTACCTTAAATTAACTTCATTTTAAATTCAAGCGTTCCTGTAGCAATTGTTAAGGTCTCTATTTGCGCAATCCTCACATATATTTTTTTAGACCTGTTGCGCAATCCTGGATTGCGGTATCGCACGCAAGTATACCCTGCACCCTCTTGTTCAGTGACTAGAGGCCCGCAACCCGAGGGGGTAGGAATGTTAGGCACCCTTTACCCCTTCTCAGTGACCCCTAGCACCCGGACCGTAATTTTTTGCCGTTCAAAAATTCATTTTTTAGCGTGAATAATTAGTCCCAGGACGAAATTATGATGAAAGCTCACTAAAATCCCGACTAAGTATCTTGATTTTACACTGACGTACGGTAGTTCGCCGCAAATCGCGATCGTGCACAAATGCCGCATATTATTCAACTGCCGCTTGAAATGAAAATGGATGAAGAATGGACGGAATCTTTAAAATTTGCTCACATTCAATGCACGAATCATTATTTTCTCTCAAATTTAGCAAAGAGAACCAATTTGTACCAATTGCAATGACATGAAAATGGTGTATGTGTTCAACAACGCAAGTTGCCTAATTTCGTCTTGTTTTATTTTTAACCAAGCGACTGACTTGCTGATGAACTATTTTCTGCATATACCCTTCTTACTCCAGGGTCAATTTTCACGAAGTTTCAAAGCCGCCCCTCCCCCCCCCCCCCCCCCCAAAAAAAAAAACAAATAAAAATAAATGGGGGCATGTTTTGCTTTGTTTCTTCTTACTTGAAAAGCGAGGCAGGAGATGAATTTAGGCAATTGATAATGTAGTTTGCTTGACTATGGTCAATGCCTTCCAATTATGTTGAGTAGAGTTGAAGCTGATTACCTTTCGGCAGGAACGAATTATCGGACAGAGTCGTATTCTGTTGGGCCACGCGTGCCATGACCGGAAGTGCTGGGAAGAGCCGCATCGTCTCCTTGATGACGCACTCCAGATACGCCATTCTTTGGAGGTCGTCGTAAGATGGTGGTCGACAATCGGACCCGAATATTTCGGCCAACTCCGTCGTCACCTGTAACCGTAGCGTCTCATTACTCTTCCGCGATACACTTGTCACACTTATCTTGATTCTAATATCCCGTGCACTTTTACGGAGTAGATTTTTCTCAGTCATCAAATTGTAGAAATGGAGACTTTAAGCGACCAACATGTTTGGCTGAGGTTAATTTATCTTGATGAAGTTATAAGCAATCGAACCCATAAGTTGCTAAAACTTTCCTTGATTCTAATATCCCATGAACTTTTACCAAGTACTTATTTGTCCTTCATCAAATTGCAGTTAACAGTAAGTAAAGCAGCAGCAGCAGTAAAGTTATAAACAATTGAACCTTTCTATTTCTTGCAACGGTAACCGTCATCGTCAGCGGGCTGATTATTGGAATTGATAGACAAAGCGATAGATCAAGAAGACAAAGGGAACGTGAAGCCATCCGATTTCTTAAAATGGGCGGTTCCTTTCGACGAAGGGAGAAAATGATCTGCCTTTTTTTTTAGTCTATTACCTACTTTCTTTTTCGATTGCAGCCGCCAATAGGATCCTACCATATCCCTCGTGTCCTCTTCGTCCATAGCTTTTGTCTATAAATTTCACTAATCGGCCCACTGGTTTAATATGGGATATAAAACGAACACACAGGAAGGGCAGAGGTGCAGAATCTTTCTAGCTTCCACATTTTCACGCGCCCGCCCAGGGGCTCACCAGATTTTTTCATCGGTTTTCCACAAAATTTTTCACCAATTTTAACCCCTCTCCTGTTTTTTGACTCTCGACCGGTGACCCTTCAAAATGTCCACTATTTCCACATTTCGGGGGCATTTTCTGCATTCCTGAAAGGAGGGGGGGGGGGCAACCGATCACATTGATCAACCGAGCACTTTGAATTTCTAAAAGGCGATTTGAATTTGTATTGATCCGCTGAAGAAATTTTTTCATGTCGCTCGTAAATTTTCTGCAGAGTACGCACGTCAACTGCTCTACAGGTCAGGATCACCGTCAATCGTGTCTCTATGATCACTCTTAATGGTCAACTTCCGATAAGCTCACAACTCGGACGCGGCACCTAAGCGGACCGCACATTCCGCGGTGAATAGCCGCGCGATTTATGTCTCTGGCGGCGAGGACGAGTGTGCAACGTGCAGCGCGCGAGGCGCATCTCACCTTGCGCTGGACATCCTGGTGGAGCGCCAACATGAGGATGGCGAAGCTGTTCTCGCACGCGGTCGTCTCTTGACCGCCAACCATGATGGTCACCACCTCGTCTCGCAGCTGACAGGTGACCCGCTCCAGCGCGGCATCCTCCTCTCCGTCGTCCTGCGTCGCCCCGCAGTCCGCGTTATTGTTCGTGTCCCTTTCGGCTGTCTCCTGCTCAATATTTTATTCATTCATATTTTAATAAAGGTATGACAATAAAGGTGTTGCATGTGTGAGGAATTTGCGATTTGACTGTTGATTTTTATGCAAAAGCTCGCGTGAAACACGATGGTGCCCCTGGTTTTCTCTGAAATCAACTCCCAAGCTCAAAAAAAGCTCTCTAGTCGAGGCCAAAACGGAGGGGATATCCCACGCTATCCTGAGAGTCTACCTCTACATCAAGACAAACTCTCCATGCAAAGATAGGGAGCAAATACATTGACAGGGCTGCCACCTTATTTGGGGACTCCAAAACTGAAAACACGGCGACCCTGCTAATGCATTTGCTCCCTATTTTTGCATGGAAATGAGTTTGTCTTGATGTAGAGGTGGACTCGCAGGATAGCGTGGGATATCCCCTCCATTTAGGCCTCAAATTGAGAGCTTTTTTGGAGCTTGGGAGTTGATTTCTGAGAAAACCAGTGGCACAATCGTGTTTCTCGCAAACTTTTACGTGAGAATCAACAGTCAAATCGCAAATTCCTCACTTACGCAACATCTCCATTAATGTGAAGTAATGTTCGGGGAAAGAAATGGCGGGAGAAGGACCCGCCCTCATTGTGAACCTGTTCGTCGCCTAAGTTCGGATCAAGTCAATACACTGGAAAAGAAAGTATCACAATCTCAACTATAATTCCAGCTGATTTTGGCACAAGCCATACTAGTAGTTGCACCAGTTAGAAGTGTAGAGACACCAGCAGCGGTATAGTAAATCCAACCGCACTTGTGCTGATTGTGAGAGCTCCAGCTAGAGGTATGGTTGAATCAACCACCCTTTCAGCAGACTTAACCACCTTTCGCTCGTGCAGCTACCCGAGTACCTGGAGCCAAAATCAGCTAGGAGTATAGTTGAGATTGTGATACTTTTATTCTGTGTAGGAGAGGTCGATCAAACTTTTTGAACTTCAAACGCTTAAAACTCCCTTTATACTAAGCAGTGAGGTGCTGAAAGTGGTTCCATTGGTTTTATCGTAAAATTTTCTTTTAGAAGCATCCCTGAAAATTTGAAATGTAACGACTTAAACATCAAAAATCGCATGTCTTAGTAAAAAATTCCATGTCCGACGTTTCTAATTGACTCGACTCACTGTGCGCCGGCTTGATGTGGTATAGACGGTGAAATTCCCAAAACGTTCGCTTGGAAAAAGTCTCTTGGATCCGGAGTCCGAACTCTTGATTCAAGTACTGATAAGATACGCGCAATTGAAAACCTCCCTCTCATGAAAACTCATTTGTTTGCGCGAGTCAAATCGCTCACTAAACGTTACCGTGGCATTATCTGCAATACGAAACTATGGTAGCCTCAATCATGACGCTTTGGCTCAGCTATAGCCAATTTTTTACACTTTGAACGACAAAGGTTGGGAAAGGAACAGAGCTCGATTGAGAAGCCTGCCGACACCGTTGTAAGGCTCGATTTGACCCACGTAGAGTATATAGTTTCTTTTAACCGGGCAATTCAAATTTCCTGTAACCAATGACCAATAGAAATGTTAATATCTTAGTTAGGAGTTGGTTCCAGTAATATTTGATGCAAGAATCGTGTTCTACATGAAATTCTGGTCACAAAGTACGTATCGGAGTGCACTGGGAAAAAAAAAAACACATTGGATCTAGATTCCAGACTCTTGAAAACAGCGACAGGAAAAAATACTCTTGATTCAATCAGATTCAAGCTTAAATCAAGAGCCAAGCCTCTTAATTTGAGCGGATTTCCTCTTGATTGAAGCTTAAATCCGATTGAATCATGAGTCCATTTTCTTGTCAATGTTTTCAAGAGTCTGGACTTTAGATCCAATGTGCCTTTTTCCCAGTGTGCTTAAATTCGAACCTTGTCAAGTGGTCCATTTCGTCCCCTAAAAAAGGAAAATTCTCACCTTCTTATCGGCTAGAGGCTTCTGCCCGCCATCGAAGCCCCCGCGGAGCCTGGCCCAAAATCCGGGCTCCTGTTGCGCGTCCTTCTGTCGGCGGAGGCTCGCGATGAGGCGGGCCATGCGCCGCTGGTCGACGCCCTCGTAGGCGGTGTCGATGAGGAGGTCCAGGAAGGCCCGCGTGTTGCGGGAGCGGCAGAACGCATCGTCCTCCTCCTGCCCGGAGACCACCGGCGAGACACTCGTGGCGGCCAGGTGCCGCTCTTCCAGCTTCTCCAGGATCACCTGCGTCGCGAACGCCTGCACGCCGCGCATCGCCGTGTCGTGCCGAGTCTTCAGCGACGTCAGACTGAAGATGGCGTTGCTCAGTAACCACGGGCTTATGATGCGCATGTACCACACCTGGAAGCCGGGATAAATTTGTTAAATTTCTAGAAGAATACACTATGGACGGACCCGGGCCCAATTCGTGGTGCTATCAGAGACGACCCTTCAGATCGGACCCAATTCCATGTGAACATCGAATGTTCACATGGAATTGGGTGCGGTCGGCATCACATTCTATGTTCTATTGGAAACATGTTGAACAATGGTTCAAGTAAGTCTGAGGCTAAGATAAGACAAGGATCTCAAGTCTTGAAAATCCAAAAAGAAGTATGAATAAATAATTTGTCTTAGCGACACAGCTTATTTTCGGTTTCAGCAGCCAAACGTGCACAGGATCCGTCGATCAGCCCCATCAAACACTAGAAACATAGTAAATCCTCTCGTTTACGCGTTTAAAACGAACAACTAATATTAAGAATAGTTCTGGGTAACAGAGGTGATTTTTGTTACCGGTACCTTTGATACAATAAAGACCATTCCAGCCTCGATCGACAGTATCAGTAGCAATACTTGGAACCTGGCAACAATCGTTTCCCTCAATTTAAATGCACGCTAATAAATCGATTGTAGGTGGAGTGGTGCGCCTCAACTGAAATCGATAGTTTTGACGAATTTGAATGGAAGAGTAACGATGTTGCAAACTTCCAAGAAGCACCACTGCACAGTGCCAGTATAATTTTTTTTTTTTATTTTAAGTAAAGTGAAAGTTCCTTACGTGTAAGACGGTCTCCATGCCTTGGACGAAAACGTGGGTGCTGTTTTTCTGCGCCTCAACTGTGACGCCCATAGCATTCTTTGTGATCATATCCAAAGTGCAGAGTCCAATAAAGCGATGCACCTCAACCTCCCCGTTATTGTCCATTTGGTTCCTAACGTTGTCAATCAAAATTTTGGACTCCATGTGAAAATTGTCTATGAATGTCTTCAAAATCTGCAGGAAAAAACGAAATATCATTAAGCCCCACATTATCGTCAAAACTCTTAAGTAATACTCGATTTTTGAGCCTTTGGGTAACACAATGGTAGTCACATAAGTCATGTCACAAACCCTGTCTTATACAAATCAGAAAATTATATGAAAATGCAGGTTGTACGACGTAAATGAGATCTTGCCGATCTCATCATCAGGTGAAAAATTACATGACTTCCGGCAATTTTTAGGCGACGATAATTGGTACCATTGGGAAAGTTATTGAACGAAGATCGCGGGTACCCTCGAGACATTCTTGAAATCTTCAGGAGATTTATGCATTCAGCAATCCAGTTAGCTTATACTCTTGACTTTTTGCTTCGCACAATGAGTTAGCTTCGCTATGGTCACAGAATCCTGTTTTGATGCTTGATTCTTGTAGATCATCGGTTAAAAATAATATGAGATCCGTCCAAACGGCAACTTTCTACCTTCATTAATAACGAGAATCGAGAAAAAGTCTATTTATGACATCCACTGCGGTATTTTATATCATGTTATGCTATGCCTAAGTTCAGTTGATGACGTCATAAATCGAGTTTTTCAAGGCGCGATATTTAGGTTAATATTGAACGTAGAATGTTGCTGTTTGGGCAGATCTTATTAATTTTAACTGATCTACAAGAATCAAGCGTTAAAACACTATGGAGATGTTGCATTTGTGAGGGATTTGCGATTTGACCATTGATTCTTATGTAAAAATTCGCGAGAAACACGATGGTGCCGCTGGTTTTCTCTGAAATCATCTCCCAAGCTCCAAAAAAGCTCTCAAGTTGAGGCCAAAATGGAGGGGATATCCCACCCTACCCTGAGAGTCCACGTCTACACCAAAAAAAAACTCTCCCTGCAAAGATAGGGACCAAATACATTGGCAGGGTTGCCGTGTTTTCAGTTTTCGAGTCCCCAAATGAAGTGGCTTCCCAGTCAATGTATTTGCTCCCTAACTTTGCATGGAGAGTTTGTTTTGATGTAGAGGCGGACTCTCAGGGTAGGGCGGGATATCCCCTCCAAGTCAATGTATTTGCTCCCTAACTTTGCATGGAGAGTTTGTTTTGATGTAGAGGCGGACTCTCAGGGTAGGGCGGGATATCCCCTCCATTTTGGCCTCACTTTGAGAGCTTTTTTTGAGCTTGGGAGATGATTTCAGAGAAAACCAGTCGCAGCATCTTGTTTCTCGCTAACTTTTATATAAGAAACAGCAGTCAAATCGTAAATCCCTCACACATGCAACATCTCCATTCTGTGACTAGCGCAACTGACCCGGTAGTCAGGGAATTTTCGTTTACAAATATTTTTTCTCCGTGCATTGTCTTTCCTGCCCTTAAATGAAAGAACTTAATTTTGTAACCTGAAAATGGAAGGCGGGCGTGATGAGCTTCCTGTTTTTTCTCCACTCGTTGACGTCCGTCACGGAGAAAAGGCCTTGCCCCATGATGCTACTCTGCATGATGGTGTACTCCGTCGATTTGCTGATGAAGTGCGGCGATCCCAATGTGAGGGCTAAGTCCTCCGGTTTCACAAGGACAACATACACCCGATCAACGATCCACACCGCGAAATTCCCGTCTTGACCGTAACTGTAAAATCAAGAAATTTCATCAGTGGGTGATGGAAGTACGATGCGAAGCTCTGGGTCTGTCGCGGGTGGCCATTAAGCGCACAGGAGCTTTGTGTAAGTACTTATAGCTGTTAGATGCTTGGTGTACTCCTGGAGCAATGGGCCGACCCTTGTCACGATCCCTAACCAAAGGTTGTGTCCTCAATTACGGCAAAGATGTTACCCGTGCCAATCGTACAGGGTAAGGCTCCGCCGCAAGGTTGCTAGCACAATTCCGTTCTGCTTCCATATCGGGGAAATATGAAAATATGAAGAAGCTCTCTAAGTGTTCTCTCAGTACAAGAGTAACGTTATTCTGGCATTTCCATACCTTCGTATCGTACAGGGCATATGAATTTGACCTCTACATCATGTTATTCAGAGAGAAAAATTACTTACTATCGAACAAGCTTTTCGGCTGTGTTAAGAGCGTGCTCCCGCAAGGTTGCTATAGCACAGTTCCGTTCTGCTTCCATATCGGGGAAACATGAAAATATGTAGAAGCTCTCTAAGTGTTCTCTCAGTATAAGAGTATCGTTACTCCGGTATTTTCATACGTTCGTATCGTACAGGGCATATGAATTTGACCTTTACATCATGTTATTTATAGAGAAAAATTACTTACTGCCGAACAAGCTTTTCGGCTGTGTAAAGAGCGTAATTCCGCAAGTTTGCTAGCACAATTCCGTTCTGCTTCCATATCGGGGAAATATGAAAATATGTAGAAGCTCTCTAAATGTTCTCTCAGTACAAGAGGAACGTTATTCTGTTATTTGCATACGTTCGTATCCTACAGGGCATATAAATTTAACCTTTACATCATGTTATTTAAAGAGAAAAATTACTTACTGTCGAACAAGCTTCTCGGCTGTGTAAAGAGCGTGCTCCAACTTTCCCCACATCAGCCATATGTGTCCTACCACCGGCATATTGCGACCGATCTTCCGAATGGACTTCATTAGTTTTATCAACGGGCGTCGTCTCCAGTGCAAGTATGCCTCTAATAAGTAAACTGTCACGAAGAGGATTCCTACAGTATAGCCAATTACGTGCAGCACGTCCATTTTTCTTGATTTTTATGATATCTGTAACAAAATTAATTCTGTAAAGTTCAGCACTCACTTATTTTCATGCGTTTTTTTCAAGGAAAACCGTTTACTTATACCCGTGCGAATTTCACGGCAGTTACCTAGGCGAGTGTCAATATTGACCGAAGCTTAACCCGTGAAGCAGGAAAATTCTGTCGCATTGAGAAGAGACGCTCTGTAAATTCTCAGACGTCGCTCAATTGACGTGCACTGAGAAAAAACTATGGCTTATAAACCTATTAGAGGTAAATATGGAACACCACTAATAGTAGTACCTCTACATATAATAATAGCACATATACCTTAGTTATGGTCTCTGTACCTTAATTAGGTACAGAGACCTTAGTATGGTTCACAGACCGAGAATCATTAGTTTATTTACGACTATTATAGGTGTTCCATATTTACCACTAATAGGTTTATAAACCATAGCTTTTTCTCAGTGTGGACTGTTTTTTGAGGAGGCTTAATGAGCGTTACCGTGAAATAAATTTACATTAATACGTTGTATTTTTACGTTATTTATGCATAAAAATATCTGAAAAATCGGATGAGCTATGTTTAAGTGCTTCCCTGAATAATCTTATTTCATCTAAGGAAATGCGGTAACGTCTGAGGGCTTACGTGGCACTCGTTCTCAGCATGGCAGTCAGCTGCGATTACTACGGTAAGATGTCAGCTAAGCAGTGGCATACGTGACGGAATAGTTGCGTACTATTTTTGATTCAAGGAAGTTCATCACTTTTTTAATTCACAGGAAAAGCCATTAATTTGAAGTCATATTTTTACTGTAAAAATGGTGGGCCCAAATTTTGTTTGCTACGGTCAACCGCAGCCGGTCGAAAAAAATACACGCGGCCCAACGCAGACCCGCCCACAGAATCTCCCCTCGGTCCTGGCAACCGCTTCACCTTATTTTGAGGATTCTCTGTAATGTACCAATCAGATTTGTATCACTGTACCAACATTTTCCCAGCATGCACAAATAATGAGCCTTTCGCTTCAAAGAGGATTTGTTTCTTGAATTTACGTGCTCAGTTTTTTCACCAAATGACATTTATGTGGAACGTAAAGCTTAGTAAAATGTAGGATTTATCATCAATCAAGCTTAAGCATAAAACGACCTCATGCTTCAATGTACATAAACTTCATCAATACTTTTGAAACATTACCCTCTCTCAGATTTTTGTCCTCTCGTGTTTCCTCTGAAGAGTCAAGTGAGAATTCCTGCACCACCTGTATTTTCCTGGTTTTGAAGTGATAAGAGGAAGGTCGCCATTCGGCTCGTCATTGAGAGAAGTTCTTCGAATTTTGCCTGGAACAATCAATTCGTCCGTCTTTAAAGTTCGTTTTTCTCCTCGTCAGAACATGTTCGTCTCAGAAGAATACAATACATGGATATACAAACCGACCAACAAATGTGCAAACAAACCAAGCAGAAAACATATCGGATAGAATCATGGGGAACTTCTAATTTGTAACGGTTCGCTCAGCAATTTTGTTTGCAATAATAACAAGTGGTAGCTGTGAATGAACGTAAGTATGATCAGATAAACTTACCAACTTTTCTCTTGCACCGTGAACAGCAGGTCAAATCAGATCATTATACTCGATAACGACTCCGTCCTCTCTTAGAATGTTTGCCCTTTTCAGATTAAAAGTTAGATGTACCGAACTGCCAGAGTTGCGGGAAAGGAAACCATTCGTCAAACAAAGAAACCGCACGGAATGGCGTGCAATGGGTAGTTGGGTGTGTACCACCGGTTGGTACCGCACTAATGAATCGCACTAAAACTAAAACGTAACCGCTTAAATTTTAAACTTTTCGCCGGTGTAAAAATTACCTACTTAGCTCGTCGAGGTGGTAAGAGCACTGATGTAGACGGCCGTAAACTTTCAACTGCCGTCCATTGATTTTTAATAGTAGGAGTTCGAATAACTGTAGCATCGTGTGCGCAATAACTTAAATTAGTTAAGTAATTATCAGACACAATTGCGCTGAGATTGTCATTTGGTACTTTAATCAGCTTCAATTACTGAATCTTACAATGTGTTGATAAATAGCATTAGAAAAAGTTCCCCTGTCGCAATTATACGGTGCATCATCAATAGCTAATACTTACCCCCTCCTCGTAGGCGGATAGACCGCAGTATGTCACGAATGTGACTGGAGCTTGACTAATAGGTAAAATTTTTGAAACTTTTAGCAGCATCCAATTTTAAAGTTATCCGGTTCCCTACATTGTATCGGTAAATGGTACGAGGAAAAGAAGACTGGTATTAAGCTAATTGTCTGTTTATCGGAGACGTGATGAGAATATGACTTCCGTTGTCAGCCTTACGTTTATGCCGATGAAAATTATACATTGACGTCAATTGACCTGTTCGGATTTTTTCGTGTGGCTACTAATATAAAGTTTGGAACGTTCCTATTATTTTTCCTCGCACTCTCTCAAAAGAATGTTCTGTTCTGAAACAATGCACGATTGCTACAATTTTGAGGTCATGAGTTTACTGATTAAACTGAAATTACACTTTTGATGTGAAGTGAAGTGATACTTCATTTAGGCGTACAAGTCTAAAGGCGTACTTCTTCGCTCTAGGTCTGGTTTACCTCGTAGACGTCTGGTCAAAGGCAGATGCAGAATTTCGGCATGATGCTGATAGCCGTGGACGACACCTCAGAAAAAAAAAAGCATCTTAAACTTGCCGCCTAGAAATATTTTTTCTTGAATCAAGAATGTTTTTGTTTGAATTAAGCTTCTTTTCTGGTCAACCCAGGCATTTTTTCTCTGTGTCTCTAGGATAATTCCGCTTGAATCCAGATAAAAAGAAGTTTTGCGGTAAATTCAAGAATCATCAGGCTTGAGCCAAGAAACTTTTTGTTTTTCAATGATAGTTCACAGGGCCATCCTTTATTGATAACTTTCTAATGAGTGAATATAATCTTGAAGAAGTTGAAATGATCGTCAGAGCAGAGATACTCAAAACATCTCGTATCCTCCGTTTAGCGGTTATTTATTTATTTATTTTTTTTTTCAATGTTGAAATATATGTTGCTCCTCTCTTCTCTAAAAGGCGCGTTTCATCAATTTGTTTTATTGATTCTGCAGTCGTTGGATGTCCAACATGAACTTCTTCATACCAGTAACGTGGCGTGAATTGCGATGCACCGATTGTTATGTCGTGTAAACCTATGGTATAGAATCGATTATTAAGGTGTTCGCTGCGGACACCCTGTTTATCGATCCTTTTCCATAGGTTTAAATGGCATAACAATGATATATCGCTAAGCACGCCACGCCACTGCATACACAAGAGCGAGAACAGCATCCGCCGCACAATGGATTGAGTCAATGCGAGAGGTCGGACAAAATTTGGAAACTTCAAAAACTTGTGACTCCGTTTATACAAAACTTGGAGGTTTTAGATGTGGTTTGATCGGTTTCCCCGTGAAATTGTCTTTTAAAGGCTCCCCTTAAACTTTAAAATTTGACGAATTAAACATCATAATTTGTAGTTTTAGCGCGCTCACTGGAAAAAAACACATTGGATCTGAAGTCCAGACTCTTAGAAACATCGACAAGGACAAATACTCCTGATTCAATCAGAATCTAGCTGAAACCAAGAACCAAGCCTCTTAATTTGAGCGGATTTCCTTTTGATCTAAGCTTAAATCTGAGTGAATCAAGGGTCCTTTTTCTTGTCAATGTTTTCAAGAGTCTGGACTCCAGATCCAATGTGTTTTTTTTCCAGTGCTGTCAGTGGCACTATGCGCCATACTCCTTAGGTAATGTTTTATTTCCTCTCCACACAAAATGCTTCAAAATCTGAGACTTTGGAAATATTCAAAACCATCTTCCGCGACACACTTATGCTGTTTGGCTTCCCTGTCCCTGTATTAAACAGACTATTTTTAGGTAAAAATTGAAATAATTCAGAATGGAGCTCCGGCTATATACCATGGACGGCAGCAAAGCTCCTCAGTCCAACTGCGCGTGGTTGACGAACGCATTCATTAACACTCCTGCAATCCAATTACACGACAACTAATGAAAGGTTAAGAACTAGAGGCTAATTACATCGAAACGATACAAAGTTTCATTTGTCAATTTACACATTTACTAAGTTGCAAATTTCCCTTTGACATTCGATCGTGTGAACTTTTTTGTGTGATCTCACTTAGATTTTCTTAAGTTCTAGTGTCCTTGGTGCTTCCGTCAATGAGTACAGGATTAAGACGTCAGTAAAACTTGAGAATGTCGGAACGCATAGGTGGATCCACACATTCTAACGGGGCACTGTGGATCGAGTCAATTAGAGAGGTCGGATATGAAATTTTTACTAAAACAACAAATTTCGATGTTTATTTCGTCACATTTTAAATTTTAAGGGATGCTTTAAGCAGAAAATTTCACGAGGATACCAATGGAACCATTAATAGAACCTTAAAGCTCTGTGTCAACGGAGTTTAAAGTGTTTCAAGTTTCCAAATTTTGTCCGACCTCTCCCATTGACTCGATCCACTGTGCGGGGGAGGGACGTTGAAGAGCCCGGGGACCTCCCCCACAACATTTTTGAATTTTTGAAGCGCACTGGAAAAAAAACACACTGGATCTAGAGTCTAGACTCTTAAAAACATCGACAAGAAAAAGTACCCTTGATTCAATTAGAATCTAACTTAAAGCAAGAACCAGGCCTCTTAATTTGAGCGGATTTCCTTTTGATTTAAGCTAAAATCTAATTGAATCAAGAGTCCTGTTTCTTGTCAATGTTTTCAAGAGTCTTGACTCTACATCCAATGTGTTTTTTTTTCCAGTGCGTTTAATATGCAATTTGAGTCACTTTCGTCATGTATAATAACCCCACCCCCCCCCCCCCCCCC